TGATTATCTTGTATCCTCTGGGCAGTGAAAAGATCAGTTCATACTTCCCATGCAGTAAACCCCATAATTATCTTATGCTTCTACCTGTGCATTACTGGAAACAGTAACTTGTCATGAAAAATCTCACAAAATTCAAACATAAATTATAGTGATTATGATTTCTGTATAATTCGATATATCTTTAAAAATACATAGAAACTCTCTTTATCTTAGTTGCAGTCTTCTCCAACATGTAAGCAAGCCTCTTTATTTCAGTCTACGTTCTTCTCTCATCTTGCTTACCACATCCTCTACAACTATTGTATTCTTAGGGTTGCTCTGCATGTTGTTTTCCCACCATTCTTCCACTCTAATGCTTTATTCTGTTATTATTTCTGAAAAAATAAACAACACATGCTTTTAATTAAGGAAAACTTCCTCCCCTGCCTTCTTTATGGAGTCAAATCCTTTAACTTTAAATGTACTCACTGTTGCAGCCATTGCTGCTTGTAGTCTCAACCAGGTTTGCAGCACACTCTGAAGAACTTGTCCTTGGAAGGGAAGCTTTCCTGACCATAACAAACAAACAAACAAAAAAAAGGCAACAGGGAGGAAGAAAAACGAACACACAGAGTGAAAAAAAGTTATCAATGAAAAAAATTATCAGAGAAGAGACCAATTAATTGAATGATGCTTCACTAAAAAAGTGACATTGTCTTCTGCAATTATTTTCTAATTAATATACAACATTTTTGAGAAGCACATATTGAGAGGAACAGAGATCAGAGGCAGGAACAGCACTCAGAACCACATGGCTTCTCTCCTGAGGTTAATGTTCCTGTTTGTCTAATTTTGCAGGTTTTTATTTAAGCAATTAGTAGATACCACAAAATTATTTAATATATTGTTAACTCTTAGCATTTGGAAGTGAAATATCAATAATATGATATTTTTAACACTTTCTTGAGGAGACACAGATCTTTTAAATAGAGTGGATCTCTTGCTGTCTCTTTAACTAGCAATTAGACATCTGCTCTCTTGAGAAGAGTCGTGAGCTATTGTCCCTTCTGTCCGGTTTGTGCCCTGTGGTGATGTAACTCCTCCACAAAGTCTGTTGTCTTGGACAGCTTAAATGGCTTTATTCCTAGACCCTGTTGTTTTGGCTGGCTGAGTTCCTGTTCATCAATATACCCTTATCTTACCAGTAATTTGGCATTTCAACATGGACTTATGAGAAGGTATAGAAATTAAGTGCAGATTGATTTCAGTTTTCCCTAGGGTTTGCCCTGTTCCTCTAAGCAGTGTGTGTGGTGTTCATGCCTCTATACTGTTTTCAGATAAAAGCTGGCTTATGTGAAATCTATACTAATCAGCTACCTTTCTCATTCTTCTTCCAGCAACCTCGTACAATATGTTCCTGGAGAAAGAAGGCCAGATGGACCTGTACTGACAGGTGAATTGCTTGTAGCAAAATGCACTATTTGTTACCTCAGTGACAATGCAATAGCAAGGATTCCTCTTTTCCCCAGGTCAAAACAATAGGCTTTATTGGTACCATTTGTTCTTGGGGGGGTGTGTTTATTTCACAAGAGATTTGGATCTGGATTTGCTCTACCTCCAAGCACTCTGCCCTGCTAACAGGTTATGCAGCTCCTGTGCCTAAAGCTGCACAGAAGCCTGCTCCAACCCAAGACTTTTTCAGCATTAAATAGCAAATGACTCTCATAAAAACCATTCTGATTTAAAATATATAATATGGGTAAGTTTTACATTCACAGTGTAAATACTTGACTGTCTTTGCTAAAATACAGTTGTAGGCATGATGCCATATCTTCTAGTGAATCCCAATGGTTAGAAATACCAATAGTTTTGTGTGCTGAGCTTTCACAGTAGCCAACAGAACTGAGCATGCTCTTTGAAGATCAGGATTCCTCCTTTGACAGAGAAACTACTTTTATTGCCAATGAAACAACACATTTCTGGAGAAATCTTGATAAAATAACGTAGGAAGCTAATTTACTGGACTGGTTTTTGCATTAATTTTGGGTGTGGACAGTACTGTTCTTGTGAATTCCTACAATGTGATATAAAATTGTTTGACAGTACTCATCTTTGGGGAGACAGAAAAGCATAGTCTTTTCTTTGCAACAGTATTCCTCATCCTTTTTTCAGAAAGTAAATTGAAGCTACTCACTTCACTACCAAAATAATTATATTCTATCAACTTGAGACTCACTCAGATAGCTCTACAGCAGCCCTTCCTTACCATTGTCCAGCAACAGTGTGGAGTTTAACCCTAGACTACTGTTCATCTTCCCTGGTTCTAAGCTGCTTTTTTTCATCACCACTCCTTAACCACTTGTCCTTTTTCCCTCCCTCCATTCTCTGCCATTCCTTTCACTCACACCTCCTGTTCCTTTCCTCTATTTTGTTCTATTTTCCATCATTCTTGTCCTCTAGCCATATCAACTACTGTCTGTTTCTTCACTATCTTTGAGTCTCTCTCCTCTTCCTCGTAGGTTTGCTTTCCCAAGCCACACCATCTTGATGAATCCTAGCACATGATCAAATACAGTGTGAAATCAGCTTAACAGCAGATTGCTGGAAGATTGGAAAAAATAAATCCTCGGCTGATAAAAATGTGATGACTCAGATAAAGATAAAGGGAGAGTTACTTCCCACTGTTCACAGAGAGCTTTTCCTATGCAGCCCTTTTCTTTTATGGGTTACCTTCACCATTTCTTACGAGTTCATTTTATAAGAAGAGCAATGAAATCCTTTCTCTCCACCTTTGTATGCTGAATGGATTTGTTCGTGGGGAGCATTAAATGCACTTGCACATGACTGGTCCTGAAATCTGCCCCAAGCCGCCTGAGAGGAAAAAATCTTGGAAAGGAACAGGGGTGCAAGTGATGACACAATAAAACAGAACACTTATTTCCTAAATTCTAAAAGATGTAATGTGTAATTTTTGCAGTTAGTAGTTCTTCCTCTGCATCCCTCCAGATTGCATTACTCGTTATACCAAAAATAAAATGATACAGGTGGTAGATCCAATTTTGGGGAAAAAATATTCATGACAGCTGCCAGCAATAATCCTTGTTTATACAGCTGAAAAGAGGGGAGTAGGTGAAACTCCTCTTTATATGTTGGTCACTTCAGTCAAGAGATAAGGACTTTCAGACGTAAAGTGTTTCTGTTACAGATGAGTTCTCTAGCAGAAGATGATTGTGCTACATCAGCCTCTGAAGTGTAAGAGTAAGAAAAGACAATTTTTAGCCAGTTATGTTCTTTTCTTTATACTAAAGAAGTTGATAATGATTTTGTAAGATTTCCCAAGCTAGTCTGGTATGTGAGACAGGGTCAAGGGCAACTATGTTAAGATGGAGTTGCTGCCCTTATTATTTTTCCAATAGAGGCCTTACTACTTGTTCTGTCACTTAGGTAAAGCTTGAGTAAATTGACCTCCTCTAAAGAGTTAGAGTAGTTGAGGTTCACCTTTCAACTGTCTAACAAAAGACTTGCACAGACCTGCCGCTGCTGTTATTCTAACCTTCTGTGCTTTGCAAAGCAAGGCTGTTTGACCATAAAACTCTGTAAATTGTCTCCAGCCTTCCCCTGATTTTACTGTATGCAAGAGGAAAGGGATCTCGTAACAGATTACTCTTTCAATTCACTGCGCTCTGAAGACTTCCTTCCTCTTCTCAGAGACAAGCATTTGCCTTCTAAAGAAATACGCTTGTGAGACCAGAACGAATTTTTCTTTACTTAGTTCAAGCTGTATTCTGTTCTAATAACTTTCTAGTAACCTGCAAATGTTCTTCAGCGAACAAGTGCTGTGGTGTTCCACTGCTGAGACAGGAATAAATTTAACTGAAATGGCAAAGGGGAGGTGCGGGGGGCTATCCTCTACAACAAGGTTTTTGACACCAACTCTGTTTTATCAAATGCAATCTCTCTCTCCCCTAAATATATTCAGCTGTGGGAAAAACGCATTCAGTGAGGTTTCCATGACAGCAGCTGAGGTAAAACTAGACCAGCCATTCCAAAGGTCGCTCACTGAAAGGCACTGATCGGAGAGGTTGATTTGGCAATGTGATTATGGGAGAGCAAAGAACAGAATTGCAAGAACCGTAGGTTATCATAACCAAGGAGAAATGCAGCATAGGAGGAAGAGGCTGCAAGTCTATGATGGCTATGAATTACAGGGGCTCTAAGTTGCCTCATAAAGGCCTAAATACATACTAATGGTATATGACAAAATGAGCTACAAAAAGCACTGTACTCTAAAAACGAGTGGGGACACGGGAGGTTGACTTGCATACATAAATGCAGAGAGTAAGTGACGACAGTAAGTTTGCTTGGGTTTGGTACAAGCGTACTGATGCATGTATTTGGTGTTACAGCATCAAATAGATTGGTTGACTTAATCCCCGTAACTGTTTATGTGTTTTCATTCCAAGTTTAATAAACCTCAAATGCTACTAAAGCCAAGCCTGTAGCACTTGCTGTCTAGCACTGACATTTTCATGCTACTCAAACATGGATCATCCTGGATAAATGAGTAAGCCCCCTGATTTGTTCTAGGTGTTAGTCACTTAATAAACATCTACCTGGGATTATTCTTGAATTGGATTCTTTCATTAGTTCTCCTTTTTAAACCAGGAGCTGTAAAGAAATTGGGAGCTAATGGCACCAGTTGGTTTGGCTGCCAATTCAGTGAGGTGGAACAGTTTCTGATCCCTGGTAATTACAAATTACTTTGGTAATTTGCTTCTATTTCTCAATCTTTGGACAACAAAAGGGTTGACTAATGTTTTAAAATGTTAGCACTAACTCTAGGTAGACTGTAAAATCTCTCAGAAATGGGTGTGCTACATGTATTTTTTACAAAGCAACTATAAGTAATAGCTTAGAAAAGACATTGAGAAAACTGCAAGTCAGGAAGCTAAAATACTAAAGCAGCAAGTTGAGACATCCACATTAATTATGCTGAATAACCATACAAACCTTATGGATAATTCATTATATACTTTCACATTCAAATAATTAGTACATGATTACCAAAAGAAATTTCTACTTGATTAAATAGCTTCAGCATTCTGAAGCACTTTTACCTGCAAAGAAAGTAGAACGCTCCAATTACAAGAACTCCTAGAAGAAGTAGTGAAGCCAAGAAAGCTGCAAACAGGTCACCTTTTGTTTGGGTCCTGATGCTGGGCAGCAAAACTTCCTCACAACGGGCTCCTGTGTAATTCTCGATACACCTGGGAAAACAAGTTTTGTTCGGATTAGATGGTAACTTGGCATCTAATATGAAGAGCACAAAGGCTTCTTTTGGTATTAAGTGGGGAGAGAACTTGGTATGGCATAATTCAAGGTTTATATTTGGTTCACAGCAGGTTTTCTTACGGGATTTCCACTCGCCTCGTATTTCTGGGACAAAGGGAATTGAGCATATTGGGCTTCAATCTTCTATCCATACTGCTTTTATATATTAAACAGTATCATTCTTAATACATTTGTTAGATTAGGAATATACTTCACAATGGTGTACTTCACAGTTAATTCTGCTTCCTCTGCTGGCAGATGTAATCCAGTTCTTTAGTGTTAACTGTGTCATCCCACCAGTTCTCATCTTACACACAGTAGTTTTGCTTTCTTTTACCCTTTTCATCTAACTTTCTAGGTTGCTTTGTTGAAGAGCTGGTACTGCCAGCTAAAAAGATGAAGGAAACAGGAATTCATTGAGACACAATACACCTTAAATTGCAGAAGTAGTTTATGCAGTGTAATAATTCATGCCAGAAAATGTCATGTGCTTGGTGAATGATCCTCTCTTGGACAGACTTAGCTAAAAGTCTTCTCTCCTATGCTTATTTTATGTACTGAGCTTCTGAGAACTTCTTCTGAAAAAAGGATTAAAATCAATCTAGTAGTTTACCAGGGTGAAATGGTATGATAGTTTATTAAAAATAAATAAAATGAATGACTTAATATTTCACATTGAGTTAAAAATAGATCGGTTGAAGCTAAACTAATCATTTGCCTTAGATTTTGCACTTACTCTGCTAAGTTTTCTTGAGGACTTCACTGCATTACAGGAAATGGAAAGCACTTCATTCAGTAACTATATTCCTCATGTATCTTTTACGTATGTAAATCTGCTTCTCCCTGTATTACTAAAGATCTTGCACCTTCTTGCTATTTCTGGCACTGAAGTCATAAAAATCTGTGACATAAGCAATTTCAGGCTCCAGCTGAGAATAATGGGCTGAACTTGGTAACATACTTGAAGTTCTCAACTGCCGTTGGCAGCTGCAAGGTATCATTTCAGATGAGGGGTAAGAACACGGAATGGGGAGGAACTGCCAAAAAGAAAAATGTCTAGCATAGCTGAGTAAGACAAATGGATCGCTGTGAGCCTACCGGCATGAATGCCTGATGGGACTCCTGCTTTTTGTGGACTGGACCACTATTTCACTACTACTGATCCAAACTTTTGCAAAAAGAATTACTACCACTTCTTTTAATTCTTTTTCTGTGGAAATAAAATGGAGGATTTAGACACTAGAAAAAACTTGAATTATCATCACGTATTAAAACTGTGCAACTGATCAGACAGCCACCATTTACACAGAACAATGTCAGACTTTTCAGAGTTACTATGTTTGACTGCTGGGAGAAGGAAGGGTAGGCAGACTGCTCTGATTGCTTGAGATAATGTTCCAGATACTTACTGTAAGTATAGTGGCGTTTCAGTGGCCTATTTCTGAAATACTGTAGAATACTTTAAGAATAGAAGTGTAGTTTGAGTGGGGCATTGTTCTCCAGCAAGTGAGAGAGAATGTGTCAGAGAGCTGAACAGAATAACGGATAGAAAATGGAATATAGAATTCATAGAAGTATTCTTGAATACCAATGAAAAGTGGAGAATAATGTGAGGCTAAAATGATGCAGGAAGAAAAAATAAATAGGTTTCAGCATCAAATTAAGACTCATGGAAAAGTTCTAGAGAGTGACTGTAAAGGGAGTAAGGCAGTAGCCCAAAGAAAAAAAAAAAGGCAGGAGGAAGAAAAGACAGCCCTTTTATCTGAAGGGATTTGTATATGGGATTAGGTAAAAGGCTAGAGAACTGCTGTGATAGCGAGTTGGCATGAACTGCACGTGGAAGCCATATTCATGTTCTGCCAAAGACCATGGGAAGAAAATTGGGAATGTGATGGCAGTGTAGCAAAAAGGTCACAGATTGTAGCCACATTCTACTACATAGAAAACAGAGCCAGATGCTTAAGGTAGTCGTAACTCTTCAAGAGGGAAAGGAGGCAGACAGCCTAAGGCTAAGGGGAAGACTAAAGCAGTATGAATCCAGGATTATAGCAAAGGGAAGACGACCTACACTAAAAAAGCACATACAAAACTTAAAACACCCTGGATGTTGAACCTTTAAGTTCTTCCTGGATGTATCAAAACCAAGTTTTAGAAACATGTTTCCCATTACTTGCCAGTTTGGTAGTGTCTGTTTAACTGCATGCAATGGATTAGGGATTACAAAACTACCCATCCACTTTCTCTAGGCTGACCTGTTGACACATTTGCTGACAGTGATTCCATGCTGTGTAGAAAATACTGTCATATAACTTAAAACTGATGGAGGTTTTCATAGAAACAGCAAAATTGAGATGAGGTATCTCTTGGTTACATTTAAATAAATCTGCAGCCAATGAGACCCTACCAACAATCTGTGCCACAGTTAGGGCATTCCGGAAAATCCAGACATTCAAATACTGGCTTGCACAAGCTTTTGTGAAGCCATTAGCGCTGGTGTACAAATAAATGAAGGACTATGTTAAATATGGAAGCAACTGATGCTTTAAGACAACCAAGAGAGGGGAAGGTTTCTACTTTAAATCCTTTCCTAAAATCAGTGGGAAACTAAGCAGACCAGTAATTCGCAGTGGAACTCACAAGATCAGCTTAGCCTGTTGCATTAGCAGAGCTCTAATAATTTCAGTGGAGTTACATAGGGAGTGACTGCAAGCAAGACAGAAAAGTAATCTCTTAACAAGCATGTGAGCCGTGAACATAATCCAGACCGATGGCATCTGTGCTGTCTCCTAGAGGCAGTCAGTCTCCCTATACACAGCCTTAAAAGTCAGCAGCAACGCACAGCTTACCTTGTTGATAATGGATGCCCAACAGTAGAGCACGTGAGGCATGACACGCTTGCAGTTGTTAGTATGGCAGGCAGCTGTGCTTCTGCACTTGAATGAACGACTGCAAAAGCCAGAGAAGCCTGCTTCTGGGCTATAGTAAGAGGGTGTTGTACTAATTAAGTCTCATGGTCACTAGGCCATGTGTTGCTGTTGCACAACAGCATCTGCATGCTGCTAGCCTGTTGTTTCAGCACATGCTGTCTGTTGTATTTAAAGGTCCTGCTATGCAGCATTCCAAAGTTGATTTTTAAGATGGATAAAAGGTCTTTCCTCTTCTAAGAAATTAAAATTTCTCATTCAGTCAGAGTTGAAAGGCAACAGCCTTCACATGTTTGAGGAAAAGCTGTGAGACTAGAAAATCCCATTTTCAGATAGCATCCAGTTTTCTGTTTTTCTGTATGTCTGCACACGCGTGCACACACGCCCACACTGCTTGTCAGATGAGATGAGCCAGCCTGAACTGTTGTATACAGACTTACTAGAGGAGCTGTGCCAGCGACAAAACACTAACATATGTAAAGAAATCCACAGAATCTTTCAAGAAAGGGTATTAATCAAAACTACCTATCTCGGTATCAGTACAAGGTGGAAGGAAATAGACTACATTGGATAAGATGTCAGGACATGACCAGAGGGTCTGCAGTTACAGTGATCCTTCATGCTATGATCAGTAACTGAAGCCCTAGCAGCCCTCCAATAACACAAGGTCTTACTGCCGTCCCACTTGCAGATCGTGAGGTAGTGCTGCCTGTCTGATTTAGGTAAGAAGGTAAGGTTTCCTTCTCTTCCAGATGATATAGGTGGGTGGCATAAACAAGTAATCGAACACATAAGAGAACATTGCGTTTTATGTTCTATTAAAAATACATCTTAATTACTGACTTCTTTTAGGGGCTATACTTTTAGTGTGTATCCTAACTTTTGTTCCCACCTTTCAAACTAAAGCAGAATAGAAAAATACTAATTGGACACTTCGTTTTCAGAAGAGCCTGCAGTATGCAAAGTAGTTTTGGAGGCAGAGAAAGAAGAAAAGCCCAGTGAGTGGGAAACCCTTCACTGGCAACGTGCAGCCCGAAGGCTTATGGCACAAGTGTATCACTCGAGGACGTCTGAAAAAGAGAATGAAGGACCCATCTCAGAGAAGGAGTCAGGCAAGAGTGCGGTATACAGAAAGCGATGGATTTGCACGGGATTTATTGGATTAGTATAGGAGAGGTGGAGGAGAGTTTGGATTAGGGTAGAAGCAAAGGAAGGGGAAAGTAGAGATATCCTTTAACCATACATGGGACTTTCAGGGAGATTGCTAAGGTCTGCCTCTGTCCACTGCAGTCCGTAGCTGGAATGCCCTGCCCTCTGCAGAATATGTTCCCTTCCACAGAAGGGGAGAGCATTCACCGTTAACTTCTCAGAAACAGAGGAGCTGTGTTTGTGTGGTCTTATACCATCTGTATTTTGTCTGAAGTACAGAAAGAAGGCTCTCAGAAATCTCCCATGTGTGAGACAAAATGGAAATACCACAGCTTCCCCTCAGACAACAAAATCTTAACTTAATTCTGCACTGCATTAATTAATGATTATGGGACAGCTGCACATCAGGTGCTGAGGCAAACAGCTTTCAGCCCCGTGTTTTGTGATTCACCTGAGGCAGCTGCTTTTCCATGCTTCTCCATTCAGCTGCATGTTTATTTAGTATATTTGAGCATGCCTGAGTTTGAAGTTCATCTCGTTTATGGTGACAGGTGCACCTTTTGCTGCTGAGAACATTAACTCATTGTTAGGGAAGGGATGAGGAAAAACAGCAGCTGAGCAACTTCATGTTTTGACACATATCAGCTGTATTTAACATCTGCTGATGTTGCACAGGGGAGGGAGTTCAACTAATGTTTTGTTTCTATTAAATCTCTACCTTGTATATATACATCTCCAATTCTGAATGGTACAAATAACTGAAATTCCGAAAGTAAACACCGGTGCTTTATTTGTTAGCAAGCTCGAAGTTACGCACTTCTAAAGAATGACGCAATTTTCCAAGTTACATTGTGAAATTACTTCCAATGATGTTGCATTGGGTAATCTGGACTGTGTTTAGCACAACACATTTCTGTGAATATGTCAAGGTAAATATGTTTTAATTATTTTTACCGATTGTTAGTCTGTTCTTGCTTCATTTTTGCCTTTTAATCAATGCTGTACTAACTATTATTCAGCCTTTTGTTTTAAAACGGCTTCAATTTTTCTGTTGGTGAGAGATGATCTTTTGAGAACACTTGGAAGCTTTAGGTGGGATTTGGCAGAAACAAGCATCAAAGAAACTTTGTCCAGCTGTGGGATGATGCCAGTCTTGAAGTTCCAAAGCACCAAATATTTTTCTGAATTCAGAATTGTGATGCCTTTTTTTCCTGTTGTTTCTATTCACATCCCTGCTGATTACTAAGATATCTGCGTGTAAACAAAACCTTTCTCATCTATAATTAGCCTTCTCTGACTGATTAAGGAACATGCTTAGAATGAGGACGTGCTTAAATAGAATGCTTCTATTTAAACCCATATAACTACATAATCAACCACTAGATACAGAAGAAAAATACTTGATAATTTAAATGCACAAAGATTGCCTGAGTACAACAGGAATGCTCTTAAGATGTTACTTTTCTGCTTCAGCAGAATATAAAATCCTCTGGTACATGAATTACAAATTACTTAATTTGGAGCCCTTTTAAAGTGGAAATTATCTACACTGACTAGCTTGTGCTCCTGAAGAATTAACTGTTCTGAGTATTTGTTACTTCGTATTTACAGTTACTGCATCAAATACGCCTTCCTCATTATATAGTCCAGCAGTAGTTGAGAGGGTGCTTTGAAATTGTGTAACTGCTGTTTAGTCTAACCACTCTTTTTTTCATTTTAGTATTTTATTATCAATAGTATGGGATTCCTTCTAGGAAAAAACCCCATGGGTATTTCAACACTTTACTTTTTGTGTGTGTAGTATTAATTTCCATTGCATAAGCTTGCAAGGTGTAGCAGTTGGAATAAGTCATCATCCTACAGCACTTCAGAACTCTAACTTCACTTCTGGATCCAATTCAGTGTATGACATTGGACAATATGCTTAATGATAGTGAGACACTGTCTATCTTTTTCAACGGGCATTTACCACAAAATTGTCTCTTCTCATCTATTAGATGAGTTTACACGCTTGAGATAAAACATTTAAATTGAACTGTCCCAAACAAAAGAAAGAATAATTAGGCATCTTATAAAACATTTTGTTTCCTTCATCAACAGTTTCATCCAGTTATCATTAGTTAAAGCCCAAGACTGAAGAGGAAGCAGAAGTTGCTACAGAAGAAAAGAAGGTAATACCCTTAAGTGTATGTAACAGGTCTCTGAATGCCTATTATTATGTTAAATAAACCCAGGAAATTTACCGTGGTTTATTTTGATGAGCAATAACTCAGAATTGGTAAATGCAGAACAATCAAAAATTAGATTTTAATTTGTCACATTCTTATGTCTTGGTAATTGAGAAAATAGAAGGATAGAGCTGTATTTATGCAGGAAACATATCCACATGCAAAACCAGAAAGTGCTTCTTTTCCAGTGTGCTACGTGGTCTTCAGAATGAAGAATGGTCCCCTAAACAAATGGCTTAAGAAGTATTATATTTGCTGCCTTGATGGTTTTTTTATCAAGATGTCTTTGGCTGTCATTGCAAAGCTGCCATTTGAGTATTTCACTGAGACTGAGAAACATGGTAAGTCTTGAGTTATGTTCTTTTCCCCTCTGTAAAGATTATATTCTTTTTTGTGTGTCCTCCTTTTGTTCAGGTCAGGCCATTTTACATTAAAAGAAATTTTGCAATATAATTCATCTGGAAGAAAAACTGGGAATGTACTTTGCTTTTCAGAATGCCTTTCCTATGGTCTATACTCCATGACCAAAGGGTATTTTGTTCCTTTCTGTGTTGTAATGAGGGGAGGAAATATGGTTCTAAATATAGATATCATCCTGAATGCATACGTAACTGAGTACTGATGCATCTGTCAAGTATACATCAAGTATACACGCTTCCTTTTCTCATATTGCCATGTCTCTGCCAGCCAGATGAGTAATCTGAGCATGAATTGCTGATTTGGGAACAGCCACAGGTAATAAGTATTTTCTTTCAACAGTAATTTCCTAAAGAAGCAAAATGGAGAAATAGTTTTTAGACAGCTACTGTCCAATCTTAAACACACAAAGTTTAGTTTCACTGACCTGCAGAATGGACTGGATACAGTAGGAATCATATAACAAATTCCTCCATTTAGACAAAAAGATCCATAACTGGTGCCACAGAGTTCTTCATGGTCTGAAAAATAAGACCAAAACAAACAGAGAAAAATAGAGACTTCTGTATTTTTATCAATAAAGGAAGATCTTAATTATACTCTTGGGGAGTGGCTTCCTTAAAAAAACCAAAACAAAACAAAAAAACCCAAACCCACCACTAAAACTACCACACACAGACAAAACCACCCCGCGAATAAAATAGGTATCAGTCTTGATTCCAGGCCAGCACATACAGCACTGTCTTGCAGAATTGCTTCATGTAACAATATCGCCATCTGAGACGTAAAGCATGGGAATTATGTGAATAAATGCAAAATTTCTCTTGCGGTGAGAGGAATTTTTGAATTCTACATTATTTCATTTGCCTTTCATGACCACACACCATACTGAGTAGTGATTCACATGATGACCTATATGAAGTCTGGTTTGTCCTGTTCCAGTGGCATGAACTATCTTCAGCTTAACTAGCTTCTGTGAGAGAACTGGAGTCAGTACGGATAAACCCAGAATAGTCTCCGGTGTGGGCCAGGACATTCTGAGACTGCTTCAGGCTGTATTAAGAGCTGAGTCATAGTGCAGTTGGACACCATCAGGTTTTCCCACCCCAATTTTTAACAACCTGTGGAGGAGCTAGCCTACAAAGCATCACCTACGCAGTTACACGTACCTGTTAAAATGATAATTTCCACAGATCTCGGAAATACTTTTTCCTAATTCTCTAGGCTTCTTACATGAATTGTTAGTGTTTTGAACACAATTAAGCATTCTAATAAAACCTCAAATACAGGATACTAATGTTGGCACACATAGCAGCAGTTGTCCATTTTATGCTTAGAGTAACTGTACCACGTCACTCTTTTGAAAGCAGTCTAAATTTGAAAGTTGGACTGCATGTATTTATGGTACATTTAATGCATCAGTAACTCTTTCCATATATTTTTATATATTTTTATGTATTTTTTCAATCTTACGAAATGACAATATCTCAATCAGAAGAAAAAAAGGCATTCTTCTGACATCACAAGTGTGAGAATCATGTGTTACCTCACACTTCAGGTGTTGGTTTTGCTGTTATTTCTCCCAGAAGTTCTGAAAATAAAAATCCTGCTGTCTCAGGATTTATGTATAGAAGACATGCTCTACAAAATATAATGTTGTTTATTAGAAATCAGGATTTTAATTTTCTTATTTGTCCTTCAGGGAAAAGAGATAGGGTTCCTCTTTATTCCTGCAGAAAAATGTGAGAAGCGTGGCCATAAGACATTCTACCCTAGAGGGAGCTTCTACAGTTTTGTATATGTAATAAACCTGACTTCAAGAGCAGCAGAAAAGATTAGCTACTTCCAACCCTGTCCAACAAAAACATTGTGCATTCTGCTGTCCCCTAGACCATCTGTAGTAATTCCACTCTACCATCTTTTCATACATTCTTCCATTTCTGTGACAGCACACTGACACAGGAGCGTAAGGTCCTTATTTGAAGACGAAGGCATACATACCACAGAGATCAACAGGAATTCAGTTTCGTGTTCCTGTTATCAAAGTGCTAGCATTCAAATCGTAACTGGACCTTTTTGCATGTGTGCAGATAAATGAGGGAGCTGGAGGTGGGGGAGGTAAGGCTGGAAAGATTGTTCACGGTCAAAACTCTCAACTTTGACCTGCTCTCAACTCTCTTAAGCATCTGAGGGAGTTAAGTACTATTGAAATTCTACCAGGTGGAAAAGAGAGATGATAGAAGGTAGGCCCCACAGAAAAATCATTTCAGATAGTTCGTGGAAAGCCTTCAAAGAAATTCTCATGAGAATTAATGAGAACTTGCTAACCTCCTTAAAATCCTGCCTTATGGTTCTATTTCTTCATCTTTATGCAGAAATAGGCCTGTCTCACACTGGAATAGCGATAGACTACTGAAGAAAACTAAGTGCCTCAAGTCATTCAGGTCTCAGAACATTTGGGAGAATGATCCTCCCACTGTTATGGTGTGATCTGTGTTATTAAGGACCAGCTCTGCAGCCCGACTAGACAGGTCTGTTCTGGCAAAATACCTCAGGCACTGTGTCTTAGGCCTGTTAGAGAAAAGAGAGAACAAGAAGTGCTATGAAGCCTTCGAAACCTTTTTGATTGTAATTACAGACAATTTCTCTATAGGCTATTTCTTTCTGGAGCTAGACTTCTTTCCAGTGCTAAGGGAAAAATGGTAACCTTAATTTTACCGGTAATGAGATATTTGAAGAAACCTCCATGCCCATGTAAATCGGATGTCCCATTTTCCATCCACTTGTGCTTTTCATTAATTCTATTTTGTGTATTAATATTCAGCTTATTGAAAATACCAGAGCAATACAGTATGAAGTAGATGGCAGACAGCATTATGAAAGAGAATACAAGAAAATTAAGGATGCTCTAACACTAAAAAAAAAAATAAAAAAAAAAAATATTACTATCAGGAGTGGATTTTGCTACAGTACAAAAATATGTATTATTGTACTCCATACCCAGTTTACTGAAATGCAGTAGCTTAGATCAAATTTGAAAGCTACACCTCTTTATTTATAGACAGGAAGGTATAAAAGCAACAGTTTATCTCTTCAAATTTATAGTCAGTGATGCAAAAGAGTAGGCTGGAGAGTCAGAAGGGGTTCAATACAAGCCAAAACCCAATTACATTAGCATCAGTGAATGCGTTATGATTTTTCATGAGGTAAGTCAATACATTATATTAGTCTAAAAATGCAAATTGTATGCTTTGAAAGTCAAATGTATACTACACTCAAACTACCATAATCAAGATATAAAAGTTTAACAAGTCAAGTGATGATGGGCAATTAAAAAAAAAAAAAACCCTAAACCCCAAAGTATTTAGCTTTTCAATTAATACAACTGTAGAAAGTCTATCAATGTATATTTTACAAAATACACCTATGTATTTTGATATATCCTTCTATGTGAGAGATTAAAGAGAAGGAGGACACAGAAGTTACTTTCTAAAAAGTCAGGTTTTGGTGGGAGGAGAAGTGAAGAGGGATGAAACAAGATTGTTCCTTCTAATACTAGACTGTGAATACTTAAATCTGGCAGAGGTAATAGCAGCCTCTGAATACACTGATTCTCAATTATTATTTTTGATGACGTGCATAAAACCTTGTCCCTAAGCTATTTTGTCTGTTTGCATTTAAACTTTTGTAACCTGACTGTCCTATCTATTAAAAAGAAAAATAATTAAAGGCTCAACACCACCTTAACCCCCAAAGAACCAGGCTAGCCTGGATAATCCACCTGTTGACTCAGCTGCCTTGCCTAGTCCAGAGGCTAAAATACTGCAGACAGTCTAATCCTGAAGTCTGCTAAAACAAAAGAGGGACGGGGGAGCAGTGGTAAATGTTGACAGAAGATAAAGGGGCTGCTGCATGCTTCCTCGCTTATAAGCGACTTTGGCCTGTACGCTGATCACTCACGAACTGTGAAATGCTGGGACTGATCCAAGCCAACTTCTCAGTTGTACGCGTGACAGGTGAACTCTGGTTTGCTGACAAGGAAGTGAAGACAGCCCTATGGAGCAGTTGTGACAATCCCAATGGCAGCAGCCAAAATCAATGCAATTGTAATGAATTCTAATTTTATATGTATACACATCCAAGTAAAGACTTGGAAATATTACCTGTTCGCATATTATTCCGACAACAATTTTTATTCTTGGTCAGAGGCTATTCTTCTAAAACGGCACCTAAAGACAAACATGTAGATTTAGCATGTCATTTTTAATCCCAGTGACTTTTTTCCCCTGAAGAAATAGCAATTGGAACACATTTTTTTCAGTGTTGCTGCCAAGACATTTGTTGAACTTTGACAGTAATATACTTTTATATGTAAGTTCCATTAATTCACAGTTAACGGCAAACATGCAGGGGTACTGTCAAGTTCAGTGAACTCCTAAGGGTAGTGGCACAAAGAAACAAACCAACATGATTCAGTTCAGAACTAAATCCTGTTTTTAAAATAAGTGAATGGTTATTTTTAGCAGTCAAGATCCGGATTCTATATGGGCTTCAAGTTTACATATAGTGCAGTGTGGGTGAAGTTGCAACAAACATGCATATAGAGGCTGAGTGCAGCATAGGGTAACACCCCATTACGCTCACGGAATCACTTGCATATTTTCCTAGGGTTACGAATGCTAAAATTTATTGCTGAATTCAAAACATACACATAATGTAGTATATATAAGTTGCATCCAGAAAATAAAATATGCAGTAGTCAAAAATCTGATTTAAATTTGTATTGTATTGGAATAAGCAGGCCGCCTTAATTTATTTTCCCTTTTCTCAGAATGTGCCACAAAATTGTATAATATCCAGTAGCACTCAAAAAATATAAATAGGATATATAACCCAAGTTTCAGATTAGCTTTTACCAGATTTAATTAGGATATGGGTCCTTGAGCAGACAACTTGATTTTGCTACTGCAAAGAGGAGATTTCACATCTTCTTTCCTTCACCTTATTGTCAGTATGCATCTCGCTATCTCTCTGGTGCTGCTACTGGTGTAAGTTTAACTTTTTCAGGAGATGTTTGGATCCAATGATCCAGCAGAAAATTCTTTGGAGGAAGCTGACAGTTTTCTGCCGCATCAGTGTGTTCAATGGGTGTGCTATACACATCAGTTGTTTGGTCTAGGACTAATGGTTACGTGCACTACAAATTGTAAATTGACTGCAGAGAATTAAGACAGTTTGAATAAGGCTGTGGGACTACTAATTGTTTATTTTCAAACTTTGGGGCCTGCGTATTCAAGGAAAGAGGGTGACAAAGGAAGGGGGTGAAAATACTTCTTAAACAATAAAAGAGGATGTATGTGTGTATGCATAATTCTGTTCTTTAAGTTCTGATAGTGAGTATCACGGTCACATATGCTCACAGAATGCTCAAATGTTTCCCTTGCACGCACCTCAGGCGTTCGTGAAAAGACTCTTTATCAGGTTAGAATATTTTTATCTGAAACTTAAAATATATCCTTTTTTGCTCTCTGCCAATTTGTTTCAAAACCTTCAGTTCTATCATTTTCCCCACATCTTTGCAATACATTGTTTGAAAGATTATAGTTTATACATCAAAGTTAGGTCATCTGTGTATACCGATATATACTGATACTATTGCAGCCTCTTCGATTACCTGAAAGTCTTGTGCATCTTTTTTCACAGTTTGAATCTGTTAACACGGGGCTTCAGTTCAGGAAAGGATTTAAATCACACGTTCAGAGTTAACCATGTCCTAAATGACTAAGCTAAAGCACGTTCAAGTACTTTGCTGGATGAAGCATGAACTCCCTGTGTATGTGTGTGTCAGCCTGAATGCTGCAAATGTGATGGAAATACTGGGTTACTGTTCTGTAGCAGAGAGACCACAGATTGAAGTCAGCCACACAAGCCAATTCATATACCCTCATGCTTTTGGGCACTAAAACATTAGGGGAAAGAATACATTTTTTTCTTTTTTGGGAACTGCTATTGGATTTCTGGTCAAACGTAGCACTCGAACGTAAAACTGCAATGACTTCAGCTCTTGTAGCAAAAATATGTACTAATGTCTGGCCATACTGGAGGCTGGCTGGAACAAGTCTTTTGAACTCATTAGATTTGTCTTTAAATGAACCAGTGTGCTTTATTCCCCATATACTTCAAATAGAATCCTTATTGCCACTTATTTTTTTGTACTTTTATTGGCTAACTATTCTAAGCATCCATGAGATGCAGTATCACCAAAAGATGATAACTGGAAGTCTTAATGAGCACAGGCAGATAAAAATAAAGCTCAGAATAATGATTTGGGGTTTGTTTTATGCTTCTTTGCTATTCAAACATTCTTAAAATTAATCTCTATGTAAACTCTTCCCCCAAATTAAGGAAGATCATTTCCATCACACAGCTATTTCAAATATACATTGTTTGTTCATTTAAATTAAGCTGCACCTTACAGCTGTCTTCAAGGATGGGATTTTACTGCATTATGTGTTCTGTTCTAAAAATCGAAAAGAGGTAAAATCTCATTTTGCCCCAATACTCAGCTCAAATATTTGTCATGAAAACAGTGAAGGAAAAAAAATTTTTAAATCGCACAGTCTGCTTAGCAGATTAATTAAGCATGAATTTCCTTCTGAGAAGTGTCCTTGATAATAAGCACTTAGTAGTCTATGCCTCTTATTTTCTCCAAGAGCCAGGAACTGTCCTGGAGGCTTGTTAACAAATGTCTGTTTATTTTCTCATGTAGGTGACGACTTCTAATACCCTTACCTTGTAAAGCTCAGAACAGATTTTAGCACAGAAAATCATCAGGTGTCAGAAAAAATCCATCAAGCTGCCCAAAACAAATGGAGATCTCAATAAGGCAGAATTCAAGGTAAGACATTACAACAACTTTGTATAAGGAAAATGTGTTACTCAAATTTACACACAGGAAGTTTCTTTTAAGATGGGGTAGCCACAACGTGAAGGAACTCTAACACTACAGAAATGAAGGCAGACGCCAAACAGCTCTCAAGTCTCAACATGCTTGCAACTGACAGGTGAATGTTTTGAGTAGTTGTTTAGAATTCTTTCCAGTTCTTTTCCAATTCTGTCACAGTTTTCTGAAATGTGAATCCTCTTGTCTTAGGAATGTCTACAGAAAAATAACACTACAGAAACTACGCCAAACAGCTCTCAAGTCTCAACATGCTTGCAACTGACAGGTGAATGTTTTGAATAGTTGTTTAGAATTCTTTCCAGTTCTTTTCCAATTCTGTCACAGTTTTCTGAAATGTGAATCCTCTTGTCTTAGGAATGTCTACAGAAAAACTTCAGGTTTACACGTTGATTTTATCCACTGAAGTATGTTTAGGAGTAATTATATACTAAACGAGCTGGTAAAACTCTTGTAATGATGTTGAAATCACAATTTGAGATATTACAGTAAATTTAAGGAAAAAACTTTCTAAAATTTCCTAAGTACTTGGCAACCAACTGCAAATCCCCATCTGACACCCCAGTTCTTCTGTATGAGATACTCATACAGAAGTTGGCAGAGCTACATTTCAGTTGAGGCTTCTGTCAAATATACATACTGTAGTTTTACTACATATTTGTCATTTGATCAAGACTCCAGTCTCAAGATTGTGTGTGCTTATGTGGGGGGAATAAATAAATTTTAGAAGACCCCTACATTAAAAAAATCACTATCGAGCTTGGAAAAAAAACCCCACACCACCTTTCATTCTCTGTGCTTACTGATGACTTCTCTGGCACTTTAGCTCCCAAGTTTCATCCTTACACTCTGTGAAGAAATCAACTGAAATGTAATACAACTTAAAGGTTCTCACTGTGGGATTAATTTTTATTCGTATCTCAGTGGTAGGTACAGTGTCCATCGGAAAGTCAGCTCTCAAGTGTCAGTAATCTCATCCAAAAATCAGAACTCGGTATTACAAACTGGCATACAAGGAGACAGTTCAACGCACGGACACTTAACAAAATATACCAGTATCACTTAAATAATTTTGAGATGCTAAATATACATATATCATAACAACTTAGATACTTTTACATGGTAATCATCAAGAAGCTAATGTAACTAGTCCTTATAAGGTTTTGATTTTTTTTTAAGTTAAACATCATCCAGACAGTAGTAACTGATTGCTGCCACTGCCAGCTGTTCCACAGCAGCTCAGACTATGGGAGAGAACTGTTAAAACTTGAATTTCCATTTCTTTTTTAAATTTTTTTGTCCATTTAAAGCACTTTCTTAACCGTGGCAGTTTTTACTGCCTTTTTTTTCCCATTTAATTTTGTACTGAGTTAATTTGTTCTACTTAAACCACGGCTTACCACAGCAAAGGGGTATTCTTAACTCTGCTGGTGTAATCTTTCTCAGACATGCCCAGGACACTCTGCTGAATCAACGTAATCTCTAATCTGCATCGTGTAATCTTGCAGCTGCTCTCTCCGCACGCGGTTACGTAATCCTGGCGTCTACAGACGGAAAACACAGCACAGCGAAGGGGCCGATAACGGTGTCAAAGCCCCGGG